ATGGTCGCTGCCTCCCTTGGTCCTGGACTTGGGGGCGTGGGGGTGGTGGTGGGGGCACAACCCAGACGACACAGGAAGGGGCGCCGGCTCGTCCCTGGCTACATGCACATGTGATGCAGGCGTGTGGGAGCTCAGGGGATCCTGCCCACAGCCTAGACAGAGTCAAAGATGAAGCTAAATTAAAGGGGTGGGGACTAGGAGGACTTGAAGTGACCATAGACTTCAGTGTCACATGACTGCAGAAGTGCAGTCCTCAGGACTACTGACCTTGGAGTGGTCCTGATGCTGAAGCTTTGTCGGCCTTAGTTGGACAGTGGAGCCTGATTCTGGTTCTGAAATTTGCTGCCCTGGTTGAAGGAATCGATCCGATCCTGTGGCTCTGTTCCCACAGTAGGTGTGGGGTCTGGCTCCAGGTACCACCCTCAAAGGTGGACGCACCACTGCAGAGCAGGTGGACAGGGGGTCCACAGTTCTTGTTTGGGGGCAGGGAATTCGGGTGTGGAAAGGCTGGTGGGTAGAAGAGGTTTTCTGGTAGCTGAAAGAATGGAATTCACTGACTTTCCCAAGGGCACAGCTGGGCCACAGAGTAGCGTTGCAAGGCGGGTGTCATCCACATGAAGCAGTGGCATGGATGCCGTGGGTAGTGGGGTGAATTGCCAAGGAAGGACATAAGTGGCCGTTCCTGGCAGTGCCTGAGAAGCTGTGTGGCCCTCCTCCAGGATGGCTGTCGTTCTGCGTCCCTGGTTCTGTCCACAACCATTGTGCCATGAAGCATCCAATTTCTTCAGTTTTATACTATTTTCCAGGAGTTGGCTGCAGTATGTGGCGTAAAAACTCAAGAGTGGGCCTTCGGGAGGGTCTAAGGGAGTTAGGGCAGCTAGCGGGTACCATCAGGGAGGAGGGCGTGGCAGTGATGGGGTTCCGGGTTTGGCTCACCAGGTGTCCTCGGGTTCCCGGGACCTGGAGCCCATACTGCTCTGGCTGACTGGCTTCAGGAGCTTGGTCTTTCTCAGATTTCTTGGTCCCTAGGAATCTTAATGCTTTTTGGTTGATTCATACAACATGACGTTTCCCATCCCCTTGCACAATGCCCAAAACATGATGGAGGTTGTATTAGGAAAAAAATTCATTGAGAGAATACATGACAAAAACTACTACGAATTTAGTAGCAGGAGGGATTTTATATTTTCTTAGTCTCGGCAGCATGTTCATTTGGAAACTCTTGTCCCCATGTGATCTGTGGAGTCTGTAAACAAGGCCTGGCCTGTGCGTGGATCCCGCCCTGTTTGGATGGTGTCTCTGTGGCCCACGGGTGGCAACCCTCTGCTTTTGAGGGTGGGCAAGACTCGTTACCAGTCACGGGCTCAGGGCTGCCCTGTTATCAAACTGTAGATCCCCAGTCTCGTCCTGGGCAGGCAGTTCTGGTCAAAGAAAACTGGTACCTGATTAGGAAGAGTGGAGCCTCCAGCCCCGGGGCTCGCAGCCTGGGTGGTCTGTAGGAGCTGGGCCCTGCTGCGGCTCCCAAGGTGGAGGGCCTAGAAAGTCCATCCGTTTCCCCAAGCAAATCAGATCGCTCGGTACTGGCATTCAGGTGGGAGACTGGCAGGGGGTGGCCTCACCTGAGACCCAGAGATGCGCAGCCATCGAGCCTGACCTGGAAGCTGCCTGCCACATCCCTGAAAATGACGTTCACGATAAAGATTCTATCACCGAAGTGTGAGGATTCTAGCTAAAGTCATTTTTAAGTTGTTTTATCTCTTTAGGCTTCTACTTGAGCTTCCTGGCATGGTGGCTCCATTAGCCAGGTGTCCTGAGAGTCCCCGATCCCTTACACAGGGCTGCAGAGTGTGTTGCTCAAGGGATGAGGAGCCGCTTAGCCTTTGGATCTCTGCACAGGCGCCATGAGACGGCATCACAGAGAATCCATGTGCCTGCTGAGTGGCAGGGGGTTGGCGGTCATGCTTGTCCAGTGACTGCCCCCGTTGAGAGCATGTGGACTTGGACACCACTGGTCAGAGCCAAGTCAACAAGGGCATGGGCTCTCCGGTGGTGGTGCCTTTCTCTGGCGCCTTGGCAGGGAGCTGTCCTGAGAACCCTGCAGGTAGAGGTGGCAGAGGGTGGATGGCAGCCCTGACCTGAGACCCTGCTCTGCCCATTGTGTGACCCCAGGCAGATCCTCCATCTCTTGACTCTCCTTCCCTTGGCACCAAGTGATGGGAGTGATGGCACCTTGCAGGACTGGCCTGGGTGCTGATGCGCCCGGGCCCTGGCCTCAGGGATGTCTGCCATCTATGCAGGGAAATGAAAAGATGGTGGCTTCCTTCATTCTAGTATTAGTGCAGAGCATTTGCTAAGCTTTTGTTAAAAAAAAAAGGCTTTGGGTGGAAACCTGCCCAGGTTCTCTTCCTGATCCACCCCTGAGGCAGTGCCTCTCAGGCAGGTTCAGGTCTGTAGTCATTTCTTGGTATTTGTGAAATGTAGCTCAGAATGACAAGTGCGCATGACCTGAGGGCCAGAGGACCATTGGGACCTGTTTTTCAAAGGTCCTAAGAAAGGTTTAAAAAAAAAAAAAAAAACTTGAGATTTAACTACAGATAAAGCAAGAAGAAACCTGAGAGTAGAAAATGTCCAAAGATGAAGGGGGAGGCCTGGAAACTGAGTTTGCTAGGGCCACCAGGACACAGGACCCCAAGATGCAGCTTCATGGCGTGGGCTGCTGCTCCTAGTCAAGGACAGCACTGAACACCCAGGCATCCATGTATCTAAACATAGAAAAGGGACATAAAGTGTGGTGTGAGATCAGGACAGTGCACCCCCCCGCCCCTTGCAACGGAGCTTGCAGGCCTGGGAGCTGCTCTTGGGAGGCAGTGGCGATGTGCGCGCTGGAGTTGATTCACTTTTTTCTTTAGGTGTCATAGTAAGCTCACAATTAAACTTACATAAAATTTTTAAAATTTAGGTTAGAACAAATACATTACAGCTGGGTAAGAATATTTTCTGTTAATTTTTTTTTTTTTTGCTTTTTAAAAATTATTTCTTTAATACTGTATTGCCTGGGCTGGCCCCGCATCCTGGGTGCAAGCTACCCTCCTACCTCCCAAGTAGCTGGGACAACAGGCCTGCTGTTAGCTATCCTGTTTTTTGGAGTATTCTGACCAATGATTAAAAAGTATGGTTTAATAAATCCATAAACCAGCCATAGTCATCGACAATGGTCAAGTGTTCTGCACAGCGTGTATCATTTAATACAAGAGCTGGTGCTGTGCGCTGACTGACATCAGCACGTCCCCGAGTAAAGGGATCTTCCATTATGACCCTCCGGGACCACCGTCACACGTGGGAATCATTGTTGACAGACACATGGCTGTGTGCCCGAAACCTAGGTATCTGTAGGGTCTGTTCCTGGGCTCTTCTGGTGACCTGGGGCACCAGACCTTATCCAGATCCCCACCTCTCAGTAATAGGACACCAGTTGTATTGGGTTAGGTCCCTAGTGACCTCCTCTTACTTGATCATCTTTTACAGTTGTAGATGGACAGAATGCCTTTATATTATTTGCTTATTTTTATGTGGTGCTGGGGATGGAACCCAGTGCCTCCGGCATGCTAGGCAAGCGCTCTGCCACTGAGCTACAGCCCCAGCCCTGTTTTCATCATCTTAAAGACCCTTTTTCTAAATAAGTTCACACTAATAGATACTTAAAGTTAGGAAGTCAGTAACTTTGGGGGAAGACTGAACTGAACTCATAGCAGAAATTACAGGAAATTCAAAGTTACTAACCATTCTACATTCTTCTAAGATCTCTGTCTCTCTGGAAAGGTAAAATTCTTGGAGCCAGATACAAATCAGAATCCCTGCACTGGTCAGGTTACCTTTGACAACTGGCTTAACTTCTGAAGCTCAATTTACTTATCTATAAAATGGGAATGAGCCTCACTTTGCAGTGTTATGGGGGAAGGTAATGGGTGTTGAGCTCGTGAGTGGGCATGCAGCACTGGGTAGATGACAGCTGTCCATCTGCATCAATACTGTGCTCGACAGGGAAGCTCTAAGTCCAGCATTGGGCTCTCTAAAGGCAGAGTTCCGGTGGGACATGCTTTTCGCCGGGGCTGCAGTAGAGTGGATGAGGCATGTGCCGGTGACTCTCCAGGGTTGATGTATGAAATCTGAGCAAGCAAAAAGAGATGCTGATTGGTTTGGAGTTGATGGGGAAATCAGGAGGTGGGGACACTCTCACCAGCTTGGGTGGCACTCGCTCTGGGGTCTGGCTCCCTTGACTTTAAATGGATGGAGGAGCATGGTTTCCTTCTGGATTATTAGGGGATGCAAAGCTGTGGATGGGCCAAATCCCTGGCTGTGTCCCTGCAGAGGACAACAGGATGGAAGCAGGCAGCCTCGGGGTTAACAAGGCGTTTAGGGGACAGTGTGAATGCCAGTATTTCCCAGCCTTTTCCTGCCTGTGATGCACCTCTTGCCCCTCCCCGGGAGGGTGTCTGCCCCACCTTTCACCACCCCTGTGCAAACATCTTCTTGACCCAGCCCCTGCCACTTCCCATCTAAAATCAGTGCAGAGCAGTGACAAAACCTGACCAGGATGTCATGGGGACACGCCCAGGGGCCTCTGTGCCTGGCTGGAAGGCTGTGACTTCTTTATTCAGGAGAGAAGGGGTGGCCCAAGGCATCCTTCCTCCTTGGGGGACTTGGACAAGCTAGCAACTTTTGGGAGAGCAAGAAACATTTCGCACTGTCTGTGCCCAGGACTTAAATGTTCCTTAAACTCCCAGAGAAAAGGCTTCTCAGCCAGGTGCAGCAGTGGCTTAAGGGTGAGGCCAAGGTTCTCAAGTTCAAGGCCAGCTCAGCAACTTAGCCAGACCCTGTCACAAAAATCCAAAAGGACTGGGGATGTGGCTCAGAGCACCCTGGATTCAACCCCCAGTACCCCACTTCCAGAAACTTAAAACAAATGTTAACTGTATAAACATCCCTGCACGCACTTGACCTTTCATTTGCTGAGGAAACTTTATAAGGTTAAGGAAGCCTTTGCTTTTTTGCCCTCAGGGGCAGGATCCTGGTGGAGAGCTTGCCTCACACTCGCCAGACTCGGGTTCACCCCCAGCACCCAGGAGAAAGAACTATCAGTGTTGAACTGTGTCCTTGAGGCTGCCAGAGGACAGATACAGGTAGTGAGGGAGAGGAGGAGAGGGCTCTGGCTGGGCCCGACCCCCCCCCCATGCCCAAGGCTCCCTACTTTGTCTCTGTCCACACCCACCGTGTGGTGGTTTTGGCCCAGAGGCCTGTGGTCGACCCCTGGTGTCAGGAAGGACCCCTCTGTCACCTCTAGGAAGATACATGTGTTGTGGGGAGCCTGGACAGGATGGCACACAGGATCCCCAGAATATTTCTTCAAAAGCATGAATAAAAATGTCTTCTGCCCGTATCCTCTTCTTGGCCATAAGAATTCAGACCCAGGTTCTAGCCATGGTCCTCAGTGGGACTCAGCGGAGGCCTCCATCCTGAGGGTTTGTGCTCCGGCAGCACACTTCCCGCTGGGGGCTTTCTTACCGTTTCACTTGGCATCTATATTGCTTTTCCCCAGATGCTGTGGGCAGTTTGGTTTTTGAGCTCCAAGAGGGTAGGGGAGTGGGCGGTCCATACTCCTATAACCGTCTAGGACGCAAGTATGAAAACTGCCCTCTCCTAAAACAGTTGATCAGGAGATGCCCTCCCCGGGTGGTGGCCAGGGCACCCTAAGCCTCGGTGGCACCGATGAGGCCTCGGGCAAGGTTTCGTTGTCCATCTTGGTCTTTAACCCTAGCGAACAGAGGCGACTTGCATCTCTTGGGCAGGATGCATGTGGTTTGGGGCTGTCATCCTGTCCCGTCCAGAGAGCGCATGACTCTGGGACTTGGCGGGGTCTGGGTATGATTCACGAAGGGGGAGGGGGATGTGGAAAACAATATCTATCTTTAAGCTCCGGAACCAGGGAAATGAGCTGGAAATGTGAGTAATGTATAATTTTACTAAAATTATCTGCCACGTCCTTGGACCTTTTCTTTCTGTGCTCCCCAGTGTGGGATCCGTGGTACCCTAGAGGACCGTTTTTGCTGGCAGGTGAGTGGGCCTCTTCTCCCCCAACCTTGGGCACTGGAGCGCAGGTGCCATCGTCCCAGCCTCACCTCTGTCCTGTTAGCTGGGTGACCTTGAGCAATGCTTTGCCTGCTGTAGGCGTCCCTTTCCTTGGTGATGTGGTTTTTCACCCTCAGGGTTGGATGCCTGGGGCTGAGCTTTGCAGGTATTAATGCCTCCGGCTGTGAGAGGGATGGAGGATGCCCTGTGGACCGGTGACCTCGACTTTGGTGGATTCCGAGATGCTGTCTGAGCTTGTCCCTGGAGGCCAGTCTTCATCCCTGGGCTTCCTCAGCCCTCCTCCACTGTCAGAGGGGTCCATTCTGAGCTGCAGCCCCTCTGGGGCTTTCTGTCCCTTCTGGTGAGGAAGCTCCTAGAAGGCAGGGCTGGGCTTTACTTTCTGTAACTGCCACAAAGTAGGAAGGAGTTGAACAAGCAGCGTCCACTCAGTCATCATGGGAGGGCTGCTCGCGTTGTGGTGTTGTTTTGGTGTGAGGGGGAGTGTTGGAGTTCTTTGAAAACTGCCAGGACACGTGGGGGACATATTATCTAAACTGGCCCCCTGGGTGAGTATGCTGGGGTCCTGGAGAGGTGGGGCGCAAGATACGCAGAGCCAAGGCTTGCTCTGGGGTCCTTGAGGCCGCATCGGTGCTCAGGCTACTGCACCCCTCCACAAGCTTCCTGACCGAGATGCATAATCCATCTGGGTGCTGTGGACGCCCTACCTTCCATTTCTTGCCAGGTCATTTGTACAGTCTCACTTCCTCACAAAAGGTCATGGTCTGTGTGTCATGCGCAGGCAGTAGGGGGACCAACACAAGGAAGAGCTGGTGGTGGTAGCTGAGGGGCTTCTGTCTTGAAGGCGCGATGGGGTTCAGGGACTCTGCTGCCATGTTGGTGATGCAGGGGGTATGGAGAGGAAGGAGAAGGTGACACAAAAGCCCAAAGTGGCTGCATCTTCCTGGAGCTGTGGCAGGTGCGTGGTTGTGACTACAAAGTCTACAGGCAGAGCCGAGTAAGGATGGGAAATGGAGCTGCTCCGAGCCCTAGGGTAGGGCTGGACGCAGTCTGACTCGCGTGATAGAATGAGTGCCAGGCGTGGTGGCGCACTCCTGTAACCCCAGTGGCTTGGGAGGCTGAGACAGGAGGATTTCGAGTTCAAAGCCAGCCTCCGTAATTTAGTGAGGCCCTCAGCAATTCAGCCCTGTCTCTAAATAGAATACAAAATGGGGATGGGGCTCAGTGGTCGAGTGACAGAGTTCAATCCTCGGGAGTGCACCCCACCCCTCCCCCAAAATGACAGGTAAGACAGAAAATCTGAATAAAGTGGGTTGTCAGATAGGGTAGGTCATAAGGTCACCCTTGGAGGGAGAGGGGCACAGGGTCCATGGGATCGCTTCTTGGAACTGTAGGTTATTCTGTTATTTAGAAAAGACCTGCCCCTGTGTACAGAGAGTCCCCAAGTTCACCGCATCATGTCCAGCCAGTGCTGGAGGTGGCCACCACCGTCTCCTCGGGCTCTGCTGGCACAAGCCTCTCCTAGATCCAAGTCCTCTGGAGGCCAAAGGATGAGACTCCCAGAATAGTCTAAAGAAAAGTCTCAGAAATCATCTTCCATATTTTTAAGACTTGCTTGTTATGGGAGAAAAAACCCAAGAGCCTCTGTGGTGGCAGAAGATGCAGAGGCTATCAGGGGTGAGATGGAAGGACGGGGGCCGTCACCCCCCCGCCATGGCCCATGGAGCATTCTAAGTGCTACACGTGCTCCAGGCCACGGTGAGCACTGCACTTGCCCAAGCCGATGGCTCCTGCTGGAGGCTTCCATTCTCCACGCTGGGCTGAGCGAATGCAGATGCCACCACTTCCTAGCCAGTGACCTGGGCCAGTCACTCAACTCTTCTGCTTTCTGTCAGGAGCGGGTGGCTGTGGCACCTCCTGACTAGGGCTGCTGGGAAGATGGCATGAGCTGATGCCTGGGGAGGTCCAGGACCCATAGTGAGCACTGGGTCACTTTTGATCTGTCATTCTGCCTAAATGGCAGGTCCTTGGAGACCCACAGACCAGCTGTCCACCTCTGAGCATGTGGAATTCACTGTGCAGATGCACAGGGGAGGGGGTGGCTTGTGGCTGTGCCCCACTAGTGCTGGGGGCTTGGGATGAAGCGCAGGTCGCCAGCTCACCTGCCAGATCTGTCACCAGCTCTCAGGTTAAAAAAAAAGTCCATGGGATGTAGGTAGCTCACCTTCAGCATCCCTTTGCCATTTGGAGAGGGCCAGGCCACCCCATCTGAGTGCTCGCTCTTTTTCAGGAAGACGACCAATGGAGACTGCAGAAAAGACCCCCGGGAGCGGAGCCGCAGCCCCATTGAGCGCGCCGTGGCCCCCGCCGTGAGCCTGCATGGCAGCCACCTCTACACATCCATCCCCAGCCTCAGCATGGAACAGCCCCTTGCCCTGACCAAGAATAGCGTGGATGCCACCAGGCCGGCCGGCCTCTCGCCTACCCTGACCCCCGTGGAGCGGCAGCAGGTAGGTGTGCCCGGGTCCTGGGCATGTCGGCCAAATCCCCAAGCAGAGGGCCCGCAGGGAGGCAGCATCTTCGCCATGTCACCCTCTGTCCCTCAGCTCGGCCTCCTCTTAGGATGCATAGGCCCTGGAGAGATGCTGATGTCCTTGAGTTTCCGTCTCTGGACGGTGGAGGCTGGTCTGGCTGAGGCATGTCTTTTTTCCTTGGCCCTCAGTGCCTTAGTTCTTCTGCGAAGCCGGTGGGGGCTGTGCTGGGGCTGGACTCCTGTGAAGTTCATGGCCACTGGTTATTAGTGCACGCTGCTCAGAAGCCCCTGGCTGGCACAAAAGGCTCATGGGGCAGCACGTGATAGAAGGGGGTGATAGTAGTTCAGATGAGTCCATGGTGGACTCACCAGCGGGGAGGACAAGGTGCAGAGCCCTCAGGGGACGCGGTGTGTGGCATTCTGACTTCTCTGTGCTACACTCTGGGGGCTTGCAAGTCAAGTCAATCCCAGGAGGAGGAGGGCTGAACCCAACTACAGCAGTTCCACCTGCGGTATACCACTGATTGGCCACTGGTTTGATCTGGTAAGAATGTGAGGCCAAGAATTGAGTCCTTTGTCTGTGGCCACTGCAGCGTCCCCTAGTGCAGAGCAGGGGGGCAGGATTCAGCCCTCAAGGTCCCTCTCCTGCTTTAGCCCTTGCTGGCCTGAGGAACATGGGTCCCGGGCAGGCCCTGCCCGTCTTGGTGTTTGCTTCGATGGCTACACTCGCCCTTCTGCTTGGCTTTTGGCTACAGTTTGAGACTGGACAGTGTTTGGTCCTGACTTTACTCGGGTCTCCCTGCGGCCCGCACTGCACCTAGCTAGAAAGTCGACCCACAGTGTCTTTGGAGTCCCCACCTGTGTTCCCAGGAATTCCTGCCAGGAGAGAGACTGAGCCCATGCCTCCTGGGAAGGGTGCAGATGGCTTGGCTGCCACCAACCTGCACAATCACGTAGGGCGGTGCTGGTGAAGTCCCCCCCACGGGCCACTGGTCAGCTCGTCACATCGACCTGGGTACCTTCAGGGAGCACCTTCCTGGGCCCCTGGACTGTATGCTCCAAACTCCTCATCTGCCCTGACCCTTAAGAGCTTGCTGCCAGGTACACCGAGGCGAGTCCCTTGGTCCCTGTGCTTAGCAGCTCAAAGGTACCCAGCCATTCCTGGGAGTGTCACTATGTTCCCCACCAGTGCTGGGTGGGCTGCCACCTGAAGTGTGTGTTGTGCCCTGGATGGGGAACCCGGCCTGTGCCAGCCGCCCTCCTCTGCATGGTGGAAAAGGTGACTCACATCTCCAGGAAGTTGAACTGGAAAGTTCCCACGGAGGCGTGTCTGGAGAGGCTATGGAAAGTGTCACCTATGTCATTATTTGTGATGGCACTTTGGAGGTTTAGAGGTGTTGAAGGAAGATATGGAGGTGACCCTGGGGCTGCAGCAAAGGAGCAGGGTCGGGAGGAGATGAGGCATTCACACACCAAGGGCCCGCACAGGCAGTGACAGGCAGCCATGGCTCCTGGACTAAGTCACAGGGGAAGAAGGATCGTGAGGGACAGTTGCACCCTGGCCCTGCTGCTCGTTTGTGCGCCTTCAATCCCCCCATCTGGAGGACAGGGTGGAGCCATTTGGTCTCCTGAGAACCCAGCACCCGGCATGAGGCTGCTCAAGTGTGGAGCCGTGTCGAGATTGCACTTGGCTGGCGAGGAGATGGGGGCAAACTGCAGTCACCTTTAGGAGTGCAGGGGCTTAGTGTGTCCAGAAGCACCCAGTAGCTCTTGATGGCACTGATGTACAGACTGAAGTGCACTCCAGGCTTCCCCAGTGTCCACTTTCAGCAGCTTCTCTGACACCTCAGTTGCTCAGGAACCAACTCGAGCCACGTGAAGCATGAGGGGGGGCGTCTCTTAAGGGCCCGAGTCATGGGTGCAGCTGGCTCAGGAAGGAAGGGCGGCCCTGATCCTGGACAGTGGGCAGGGCCCTCCTCCCCTCTGCTTTGGGCCTGTCCCATTTCCGGCCCACATGGCCAGCCCACTGTGGCTTGTTCGCCTGCTGACGTGTTGAACTGTTGAGAGAATTCCAAATGTTCCTTTCACATGCTGCTGCCAGGCCACAAGTCTCCCACCTGCGTGTGCAGTTTCTTGTTAGACACAGGCACTTGAATGTGATCCCAATTCATCTTCTAACTCCAGACCCTGTTGCTGTCCACTGTCTGTCACAGGAGGAAGGCGAGGCATGTGAGCCTTTGCTCTTTCTTTGGGGTCCTGATGTGGGGCATAAGGCTCTCACTGGTGGTGCCCGTGTAGCTAGCTACCCTTTGGCTGGCTGGGTGTTCAGCCCCCACCATCCTCCATCTTGTTCTGGGCACTAGGAAATTTTTTTTCTGGCTGGAACCTGAAGTTCAGGTTGGTTCACAGAATATTGTTGCCCCAAGCTTGGGGACAGATGCACTGTCTGATCCCTGTTGTGCAGCAAGTGTGGTGGAGGGGAGGAGACGGATGCTGTGTCCTGCTGGAGCTTGAGGGACTCAGGTGTGGTGGTGTCTCAAGCTGATCTCTGAAGAGGGTGGGAGCTGCGGGGGACTCCGCTGTATGACACCACTCATCCTTTCCCGCTGGCATGTCTCCCCCACTAGCGGTATCATGATTTGTGTGGTCTTCAGAGGAATCCGCTTGGGTATATCAACTAGAAGCTCCGGCAAACAACGGGGAGGGGACAGCTCCAAGAGACCCTGTACCAATATGGCCAGGGTTTCTTTTGCCATCAGTGTCTGTCTCCATTCAGATTTGAGGGAGGGGGCCAGTCCAGCTCTCAACACCTCTGTCCCATATCCCTCACTGATCTGTGACCAAGAGACACTCAGAGAAAGGACAGCCTGGCCAACTGCAGAGCCCTGAGGGTGCTGCTGAGGTCCCTGTGGGGATGAGGTGGGACTCCCCACCTGTGCCGTCATCTTGGAGGCCGTGGTAAATAGCTGACCCCCACTTTCCTCCTGCAGAACCGGCCCTCGGTGATCACCTGCGCCTCTGCTGGTGCCCGCAACTGCAACCTCTCTCACTGCCCCATCGCGCACAGTGGCTGCCCTGCGTCCGGGCCTGCCAGCTACCGGAGGCCGCCCAGCGGTGAGTGTCCTGGAGGGGTTCCCCACTTCCTCCCCCTGCCCGTGGTCTCTGAGAGTCACAGATCAAGTCTCGGGCCACAACCCCTCACCTTGAGCACATACATACCCAGCACCGTGCAGAGCTCGAGGCAGCGGTGTGCTGCTCCTGGCCCTCCGTGACCTCGTGCTCTAGTCGGGGGGAGGTCAGAGTCCTCATTTACTGCCACATGGCCACTGTCGTGCAGGCACATCACAGAGCAGCATCCTGTCCTCGTGCCCAGCAACAGAGTGGGGAGGGCAGGGGGGCCCGCCCCAGAGCCCTATTGGTGACCCATGGTGCTCTACAGATGACCTGTCCTGATTGTTCTCCTGCTTCCTCACAGCCACCACTTGTGATCCTGTGGTGGAGGAACACTTCCGTAGGAGCCTGGGGAAGAACTATAAGGAGCCCGAACCAGCACCCAACTCTGTGTCCATCACGGGCTCCGTGGATGACCACTTTGCCAAAGCTCTGGGCGACACATGGCTTCAGATTAAAGCAGCCAAGGATGGTGCATCCAGCAGCCCCGAGTCGGCCTCACGCAGGGGCCAACCGGCCAGCCCCTCTGCCCACATGGTCAGCCACAGCCACTCCCCATCCGTGGTCTCCTGAAGGAATGCCACCCTCCGGCAGCACGTGGATCTGCATGGTTTGCCTGAGCTTTGAACAGTCAGTGCTTCAAAACAAAAAAAAAATTGGGGTGGGGAGGGAGGGATAGGGATGGTTTATTCGCAAAAACCATGTTGTTGGGATTTCTTTTCTGTTTTCATACTTGCTTGGTATTCTTCTATAAGGGGCCTCAAATGTGGCAGCAGGAACGACGTGTGGAACATCTGTCTCATGTAGCATCTTTACTTCCTGCCTCAGTTACCAAAGAAACCTCTGATGCAGGCCTGCCGGGGCCCAGACTCTGTGGCGCACATTCTCAGTCACAAGCCATGACGACGTTGGGGACCCAGATGCTTTATGCTTTCTTCCATTTGCTTCTCGAGCGCAGCTCAGCTTCCATGGCGGGTTTCGGGGGTCCGTGTGTGCGCGCGTGTATACTTGAAGAGAACTGCCGTGTCTGATTTGCACTTTTGGAGGACTGAGTTGCCTGTCTGGCAGCTTTCCGCGAGACGTGAGTGCTCTGAGGGCAAACTGCTGAAGAACAAAGGGTTCAAGGATGACATTTCCGACCATTTGTGCGTTTTTGTTGCTATCGAATTTAGACAAAACTGCTTTGGAAGGGGAAGTCTCATACCGGTTATAGGTCTTTCTCTCTAGATTTCAGGTGCTTGCAACGGGACTGCAGACTCCACCGATCACGGGCATTTACCTTTTCTGAACACTGCGGTGTGTGAGGCTCGAGCCGGGGTGGGAGGATTCCAGAGTGCTTTAACCATGACGCATGTTTTAATGGAGAAAAAAAAATAGCTGGTTTCTATTAATTGTATAGACAGTAAACACAAACCTTACTACTTACTAGCTTCTTTTCAGAATTAGTTTATTTTTGTCAGTTACAGTCCTAGATATACTTACTGCTGGTACAGTTGTACTCTAAGATTTGTATTTGATACTCACTTTACTTGCAAGGAGGGCTGGGGACAGCTGGCAGGCCCGAGGGAGGCTCACTGGAGCAGCTGGGCCACCGTGTCGGGGGCCAGGGTTTGCACCGAGAGCTGACACGGTCACTGGTTTTCTGCATCCTGTCTGCTTTTACGAGCTCCCAGGGGAGCATCTTCCAACTCCCCGGATGCGCAGACTGCTCCCTTCCACCTCCCTTGGCCGAACAGCAGATTGCTGACAATCTGTGATAAGGTATTTTGATGCTTCCTTGCATGCTGGGGCCCAGGCAGTATACATTCCTGACTTTATACACTTATTGCCACATTTATTATCGTCTGCTATATTAATGGCTACTAACTAGAAATTAGAAGAAAGCGGGATAGACATGGCTGTGGACACCCCACAGCTGCTTTTCCTGGTCCATGAGCTGTTCTGCTCCCCTACCCCTCAAATGTGCTGCATTTGGCCTGGCCTGCTGGAGGGCTCAGGACGCCATGCACACGGCCACCTCATCCAAGGCTTTATGGACTCCTTCACACAGGAGCCTTGAGGCTGGCTGCCAGGAGGAGAACAATACAGGTTAGCTGTTGCATTCTGGGGACTGGCTCTTGTAGTCACAGGGTGGCTGCAGGCCTTTAAAAAGTGGAAGAAAAGCCCTTCTCCTCTTGCCTCTGCACACATTTCACTCCCACTTTACTGGGCTTCCAAGCTTTGGCATTTGGGCCCCTATATTTTCTGTAGGAGAAAAATTGTTGAGAAACACTTTTTTTATATAGGTAACTTTAAGACCATCATTACGCTGTGCGTAAAGAATGTACAGAGAAATTTGTAGGTATTTTTTGAAGAACAATTAATTTGTTAATGATATGTAGCTATTTAATTTTCCCCATTTCCTATCGTAATCATTCATTTTTTTGTTGTTTGGAAAAAAAAGTTGATCTTTTTTTGTTGTAGATTTTGTCTGTAAAGTGCAGGCACACAGTTATTCTATGAGGACACTGCATCTGCGTTAATAGCCACTAGTTTGTTATTGCTACAGGCTACTGAGCATTGTAACAGGAACACGACCGCACCGCGGATGGGCTCTGCGGAGAACCCACCTCGGACACTTCTGTCGGTGCACAGGGTCGTCACTTGGGAGGGATGGCAGTGCCGGTGGCCGGGTCCCCGGTGCGCTGACCTATCTGGGATAGGCAGTTCCCTGGAGGGGGCTTTGGGCAGAGGGAGCAGTGGAAAACCAAATGTTTCCCCAGCACCCTCCCTGAGAAGGGGCTCCGAGGTTCTCCCCAGGGCCGCGCTGTCCGCGGTGCGTTCTGCCCCTTCTCTCCATGTTTGTAAATCTGTAATATACCATTCTCTGTGGCCTGTTTTTCCTGGAAGAAGAAGAAAAAAAAGGTTTGGCAGGCCATCTTTTTTTTTTTTTTTTGTACTTAAAAGTAGCCTTAAGAACAATAATAAAGTGCTCTTAAACCACAGGCTGTACGTGTGGCTCTTCAGTCCTGGGTAACAGTGTGGTGGCTGTGCACCACTGAAGTCCCAATAAAGGTAATTTTTAGTTTCTTGACTGTCTACTTTAGGTCAAGTGTTGTTTCTAAGTCTCTGTGGAAATCCTGCTGCTGTAAGAGGTACCCCTGGACTCCATTTTGACTTTGGTTCTAGGCCTAAGTCAGAAGCTGAACCCAGATAAAGTGTTAGGGGTTCCTTTGGCTCTGCACCAGTGTGCAAATCAGAATGGAGGGGGAAACCAGCCTACCTTACTGTAGATGCACAGACAGTCACCCCGCAGAGAGGACCCTTGAGGTGAGGGGGAGAAAGGGAGCCAAATTGCCTTCTTTAGATCGGCCCCAGGACTCTCCCCCAGCTTGTGGAAGCCTGAGCAAAAAGGTTCCAATCCTCACCGGTAAGGTGTTCGACTAGGAGGTGGAGGAGACACCCCCCCCCCAAGGCAGAACACCACAGTGGGGGTTGCAATGCACCCTGGGAACTTGGATGCTGCCTCCTTACAGTGGCTCAGGGCAACAGCTGGTTTCCCACTTCACCAGTTGATTCCTAAGTCCTTACTATTACCTCTGAGGGCCAAAGCAGAAGGATCCTGTGACATTAGGAAAACAAAACAAAACAAAACCCAAAAGAACTTCACATGGAGGGAACAGAGCCCCAGATCAATGGCTGTGCCAAAGCCAAGGTTATTATTGAAGTCAGAGCTGGGGGAAATGGTGACCCATGAGAATGCAGAATGCTGGCAGCAAAGGGAGCACCCCAGTCTTCAGGAAGAAAGGGAACAGGGAGGTGACAGGAGCCCAGAATCAGTCTGGGGTGACAGTCCTGCTCCAGTGACTGAGTGTGGCCTCAGCCAGAGAGAGAATCAGGCTCCACACGAGGCGTGGCTGGTTCAGATGGTCTCATCGTCGCTCATGTCCCAGATCTGCATGGAGAAGGGGAGACGCTTAGCAGAGGTGTTGGGCTGCCAGATGGTACTCACTGATGCTGTTGTCATGACAAAAGGATCTCCTACTTGCAGTCAGAGCGCTCTGCACCTCCCACACTGGTTCCCTTGTCATTGAGGCACTGACCCCCCATTTCTGGTACAAGGAATCAAATCTCAGGAGTTATACTTCCCTTACCCAGGGTCTTACTCGGATGTGAATGGGGAGGGTGGCAACTTTAGGCTGCTACCCTCTCATCACTCCACCAGAGGGTCTTACCCAGCCACAGGCAGTAAGGTAAGCTCTGTGGGGTGCTGGCTGCAGAAAGCCCTGCCTAGTGGCCCATAAGATGCATCCCACGTCAGGAGGCTGCCTCCCGCCCGGCAGCCGGCTCCACTGTCCAGTCAACTTTAGTCCAGTTGCTGACTCTACAGCGAATGCCAGGCAACTGCTGTTGCTCAAGAGCAAACTCCACTCCTGCCAGGCCCAGAGGTGGCCTGGGGAGGACCTTGGACACAGCCAGATCCTGCCTTGCGCCCTAGACTGTCTGTGGGGAGCCTAAGACTCTTCTGAGTCTGACCCAATGCTGTGAGTTTGGGGAGTGCTCTGCTGTAGCATCACAGTGAGAAGAGGAAGGAGGGATGAGGTGGAGGCCCCACCTGCCAGCCCCACAGGCTAGACTTTCCCTGCGACTCTGGCCATGAAGCACCCATGGCCCTGGGGTGGGGGGAGAGCAGGCTGAGGCTTTGTACAGCACCCTGGCTCCCTGGAGGCTGGTCCCCAAACCTGTGCCTCCAGACTTTCAAAATCCTTACAACTGGTTGCAAAAGACCCCCAGCCCCAGCAGAGCTGCCAGGATGAACAGTGTGTTTACATGGGGCGGCCCAGGGAGCGGGGAGGCCTGGCCAAGGTAAACAGCCACACCAGCTTGCCTTTCAAAGGCAAGGATGTGGAAAATAAATAGAGGGAAATTTCCTCCCTCCTGGGCTGAGGGGGAGCGGGTGACCCTCTCCTGCCCCTCCATGTCTACACAGGCCCACTGCCTGAGCACAGGAGGGTGGGTGGCAGAGTGAGATCCCAATGCTGGCGAACCAGCACCATGAATGAATGGGCAGTGTGGGGTCCAATGACCCCAGTGTGTCATGTTGGGACCTGCTTCTTGGTGCAATTTTCCCACCAGCTAGAAACACGCCCTGGGGTGGAGTAGGGGCCCCAGTTCCAACAGAGGCTGCACTGCTGAGCCCCGGAACCTGATCTATGGGTTCTGAAGGTCTGATTGGGGAGACTGAGTCACTAGAGGGTTTGCCAGCATCATTCAGCCACTCTTGACTGTCAGTGAACTCAATCATGCAGCCCTCCCTGTGCCAGGCACTTTGCAGACCTGGAGTGAATGTGCCCTCCTGCCCTCCTGCCCTCCTCATACCTGCCTGTGAGGTCCAGGAGAAAACCAGTTCAGAGAAGCAATACAACTTACCCAGGACCACACAACAGGCAAGCTGGGAGCATGCATGTGGTGTGTGGAACAGGCTGAGCACGCTGCATGGAGGAGGGGGCACAGAGGCACCGGGCCAAGAGGAAGGAGAATGAAGAGCCCTGTGCACTGAGGCTTTAGGACCTTCTGCCCAGCCTCTTCAGGGCACCAGCTAGGGCAGGCTGGGTACCACTGAATGGCACACTCTGCCAGTGGGTGGGCAGGGCTGTTCACACTCTGGGCCAAGGACAAACTTTATGGGAAATCAAGAGCATCCAGACATCCTCTGACCACTTCTTCATCTACTGTCAGAGCTTAGCTATGGGGAAGGGGTGCCCCCCCCCCCAATGCAGGGCCAGGGAGATGTGGACTAGGTGGCTGTGGGCTGGGAGGGAGTCTGGCTGGCCCCTTGCTCCTGGACAGATTTAACCACCCAAAGGGGCTGGCCAGTAGGGCTGTTCTGTTGAGCCTGGGCTGCAGAGGATCCTGTGGGACACCCAAAGGGCTTATTGGAGCAGGGGGGCTGGCGGGTGGTGGATTTTACATAACTGCATGGGGTTTTTCCAGAACCAGCTCCCTAGCAGGGACAGGCTCTGTGGAGCACCCTGGCCTTCCCCCTCACCAGGCACAAAGGCAACACCTGGAAACAGACTTCATCTCTTCCTTGAGCATGGACCCTGAAAGGGCTGAGATCTGCCTTCCCGAGTCCTTAGTTCCAAGTACAAGGCCTAGCCTAGGTAGAGGTGCCGTGGGTGTCCTCTTAATAAAGGAAGGTTGAGGTAAATTGGCACAGATTTTCAAAATGTGAATACTCAATGCTGGTAAGAAGACACATGGCCACAGGTGGGGTGTAAATTGGTACTACATGTTTTAAAAGAAGATACAAAGCTTTTTTAAAAAAAAAGTCTACCTTCTAAAGGAGAAATTAATAATCTCTTTGTGCAGAAAATATTAAAGAACTAGAAAATCCAAGAAAACAAATGCTAGGTGGACATGGCAAGAGAACTCTTAAGATGGCATCATAAAATTAGCAAGTTCCAACCCCTCCCCATGTGTGAACAATGTCCAGTTCAAAAGCAGAATGAAAGAGGTAAAGCAGTGAAAAAGATAAGCTGCTGGGAAATAACCCTGATGTCAAATGTGCAAAATTTATATGGGGGGAAACCCCTCAGAACATTCCTACAGCAAGCCCAAGAATTTTAACTTCAGAAAGACAAAAGTGAACTGGAACAAATGAGCAACACCCCTTGTTTTTGCACAGGACAAGTCAACATCAGTAAAGAGTCAAGTTTTCCCAAGTGAAAGTAGAAGTTTTAAAAATCAACAACTATTTCTTCTGGAGCTAGAGGAGCTGGTTCTAAAGTTTTGTGGAAAAAAATAAGAATCCTAATAAAACTTGGGTAAGATGGACAGTGATGGCTCCCCTGCTCCACGTTTGCAAGTCAAGGCAAACAGCATCAAAGTCTCCAAAACCAAGAGTGGGAGGCATTGCTATGACAACAGCTACAACTAGAACAGAGTGAAAACAGTAGGATGTAGAATCCATGCACATCCAGAAAGCTAGCATTTCACCATGAAGGTTTGGAGAATGGGAGCTCAAATCATTAGAAAAAGATGGACTTTCAAATAAATGGGGAGAATTAGTAATTTGAAACAAGATAAAAATTGATTCCATGTTTTCTGCTGTATCTTGGCATCAACTCCAAACGGAACAGAGATCTCAGTGTTAAAGAAAACAAAGCCATGGGCACGCAAATGGGTACTTCCTTTACAATGTGGGAGGGGGGAGCCCTGTGAACTTGAGCCTATAAGAAAGAAAACGGGTGCATTGCCCCTGAAGAAACGTGTGTACTTTTCCATGGGAGACCCAATAAACAGAGTAATAAAAGGGGGGGGAAAAAAAAACCCAAACTACAAACCAGGAGAAAACATACCTGAAAGGGCCACCACTACTCCCTAATTGACAATTCTCAGAAATCAAGAGGAAAAGACCAATAAGTTGACTTTTAAAAAGGCCAAGGATGTCAACAGTTCACAGAAAAATCGACAAATGACCCTCTCACACAAGAAAACGTGCTCAACCTTACTCTTAAGAACAGAAATGCAGACATTTCTTAGGACACAAAAGAAAAACCTGACATGCATTTCACGGGAATTGAAGCATCTGGCCTTTGAAAGAGACATCAGAAATGAAAAGGCAAAGGAAAGTCACAAGCGAGGAGAAAACGTCTACGATGTCTATGGGAAGGATTTCAATTAAGAATTCTCAATCTTCAGTTAAACACTCAAAACTGATTTTCCTTAAAACTGGGCAAAAGATTTGAACAGACATTCCGCAAGGGAGGACCCAAAATGGCCACCAGTGCTTATCAACCTTCGTCCTTAGGGAAATGCAGAGGAGGACCCCAAAGGGACACTGCACAGCACCTGTACCAAAACCAATGGGCAGCGGGCTCTCTGTGGGGTGCAGAGCAAGCAGGGCTCCCTGACCCTGCTAGAAGGAAAGCAATGGCAAAACCACTCTGGGAAAGGTCTGGTGATTCATAAAGCCAAACACACTTCCCCAGTGACCCAGCCATTAAACTCCCATTTACCCCAAGGGGAGACAAGTCCACAGAGGCTTGTGCGACAATGTTGAGAGCAGCTTCCTTCCCAGGGGGCACAAACAAACTGGCTCAAGTGGCCACCAATAGGAAAACAGAAGAAATAAACTGGAATATCCATACAATGGAGCTACAGCATGGCTCTGGAATGTTCCCCCAAAGCCCATGTGTTAGAAGATCGGTCTCCAGCATGGCACTTCTAGGAGATGGCGGAATCTCTAAGAAGTGGGAGGCCTTCCGACCATGGGGAGCAGACCACTGAAGGGGACAGTGGGATCCTGGTCCCTTCCTCTTCCTCTTGGCATCCTCACCATAAGGTGAGCAGACTGCCCTGTGGGGTGTTCCCACCATGCTGTGCCATCTCAGTGCAGTCCCCAAGGCAACAGAGCCGGCTGACGTGAGCCAGAACAGCCCTTTTCTCTTTATAGGTTGGTTGCCTCGGAGCGGGGGGGTGGAGGGGGGGTTATTACAGTGACTGGAAGCCACCACAAATGGGCACTGCCTACCCATGGAAGGAACAAATTACTGATGCACATGATGGCATCTTTATCCTGAGTCAAAGCAGCCCACAGGGAGGGAGGGAGGGAACAGGGCAGCACTGGTCAAAGGGTACAGGGCTCCATCATGCAGCATGAATAAGCCTCGTGAACCCACGCACAGCACGATGACAGACCGACGACGTAGTTGCCATCGTATTATTGATAGAAATTTGCGGGGCTGGGGATGTGGCTCAAGCGGTAGCGCGCTCGCCTGGCATGCATGCGGCCCGGGTTCGATCCTCAGCACCACATACCAACAAAGATGTTGTGTCCCCCAAAAACTAAGAAATAAATATTTAAAAATTCTCTCTTAAAAAAAAAAAGAAAGAAATTTGCTACCAGAGCCTGAGGTGTCTTACCAAGAAATGATGGTTGCGATCATTTCA